ACTCCCGCTGCGAGTTTGGATCCTATATAAGAATGGCCGGTGCGCTCACTGGCTGAGCGCAGTGTGGGTGACACCACGCCAAGGGTTGCGATCCCCTTACCGGTCACAAAAAGGACAACAACAACAACAACAAAATACCATTTAAAAAGAGCTTAGAGCATGTATAGAGTTCATAAAAAGCTCTATTTTACATAATTGTGTGAATTGCTATCTCATGAACGTGACATGTTATTTAGAAAAGGAAATAGGCAAAAACAACAACAACAAAAAAAATGGGTACCTACAAATAAAACTCTAAAAGCACTAACAGGAAAATAAAATTTTGGTGGTGCCGAACAACACAGTATCAAAGCAGTACCAAAGAGCTGCTCCAAAAAATAAATAATTCAAGCCATCAGTTGTTCAGGTTATATAATTTGACTGATTCCACTCCACAGTAATGTATAGGAACTCTTCTGGTTGTAGTCACATAACAGAAATGCATTTTTAAGTGAAGATACTCTGGACTGCCTGTTGTTAACTATTAAATGGAAACCCCAGAATTCACCTTGAGTGTCTTCTGAATATGAAACAGTCATATGTGTTAATTTAATTCAGCATAAAATTTCAATGTTTTCCCCACAATGAGAATTTTAGTAGTGTCTTCCCAGTGTGCAACCATGCTTATCCCTTCACTAGATTCAGAATTGGTACTAATTCTGACAGAAATTGAAACTAAAGCCTGTGTTGTATGTTTATTCAACATAAGGCATTTCCCCAGAGATGGTGTGAATTAATGGTTTAAACAACCAAAATTAAAACATAGAAGTATTTTTTTTTTTAAAGCATCCACTTGCATTTACATACAATTACATTGCTAGAGCTACAGTGGTCAGCAGAATCATCTCCCACCCTGTGGATAGCAAGGTTGATCCAGGCTGTGTGCTCATGTTTGGATAACAATGCCCTTCCCAGGGAGCGGAGTCACATCATTAAGGTTCAAAGTCACAAATGAATATTTTTACATATTTATTAAAACACAAGTTTCCTGAGGAGTTTGACTAGGCAATGTTGTTAAGCTAGTTGGCTTAAAATGTATAAAAATGCAATAATACTTATACATCATTAAAATATTCTAAAGTCAGATTTTGCTCTGATTGGCTATCAAATTAGGGCAAATCAATGAGATTTTTTACCAACAATAATCTGAAACTTAAAGTTAAGTTTGAGTTTAAAGGCAATTCTTGAAATGGTCACAAATAAATGATGCCTATTGATTAAGCAGTAATAA